TTATTTAAATTGGTGCATCATAGTTATGTACAAGATGGGAATGCATGTGGTACGCTCGTACATGCGCAGGCAGAATCTGGTTGGCGTAACTCCCCGGTTCCTGGTTTTGTTTCCTTAGTTCAAGGGTTGTGGTGAGGAAGCGGGTGGCTGTGCCAATGTGTTGGAGCATTGGGTCTCGGTTTGTCTCTAGCAGATTCTCTTTGAGGGTGAGAGGCAGGGATAGAGTTTCATTCTTGCTCATGTGGGTATCCAGTTTTCCCAGCCCTACTTGTTTAAAGGCTGTCCTTTCTCCACATTATGCTTTGGGGACCTTTGGTGAGTGTCATGTGGTGATATCTATGTGGGTTTGTCCCTGTGCCTTCTATTCTATTCCATTGGTCTTCCTGTCTGTTTTGATGCCAATCCCCACATTTTATTCTCAGTTTCATTAATTTGGGATGTGATGATCTTTTCCTGTCTTCTGCATGTTTGGAACTAGTTTGTTCCTGCTTTTCTGGGCCTTGATGTGCAGCTTTAGGTTGCTTACTTGGGATCTTGCTGTTTTTAACACAGGCACTTGACGCTGTAAGCTTTCCTCTAAGAACCACCCTCAGAGTGTCCCAGCGGCTCAGGTATGTTGTATCACTACTATTCTTGTTTGAGTCTAGGAATTTTTAAATTTAATTTCTCAATGTCCTTCAAAAAGAAAAGAAGTGAACAATAAACAACAGCATCACTTAATAATGATGAATATTCCCTTTTTTAATTTATTTTTATTTTACTCTTCCTCTTTCTCAGATGTCAAGTTTCTACTGAATTGGCTGCTACATTTCTCAAGATATGAAATGGCCAACTGTAGAAAGACCTTCCTGTCTTTCTTTCCTCCTTCCTTCTTCCCTCCCTCCTTCCTGTCTTCCTTCCTCCTTCCCTCCCTCCTTCCTTCCTCACTCCTCTCCTTTCCTCTTTTACTTTTGTGGTGCTAGCGATTTAACCAGGGCCTTGCACATGCTGGCCAAGTGCTCCACCACGGGGCCACACCCCAACCCAACATTTCTTTAGGATCCTGCTTGAAACCAACAGCTTCAGCCAACTGCTAGTCTTGATTTAGGTCAAATTAGCAACTATTTAAAAGATTGCAGTGCACAAGAAGCAGAAGTTACCCCCTGGCAATGGGCAAAGAGACACCTCACTAGTGGTGTTACTCTTATATCAGTCAGGGGCAGAGTAGAAGATAGTCCTTTGTTCATCCTAGCTTGATGCCTGTGTTGTGGCCAGAGCTGTTTCATGCCTAGGGCACATAAGAAAAAAAAAAAAAAAAGAAGCAGAAGTTTTATTCAAGACTTCTCAACCACACAAAAATTTAAACAAGTAGGATGTTATTTATATAAAAAGGTATTACCCTGTTACAATTACAATTATGTCGCCAAACCTGCAATTATCAGTGGGAAAAATTACCCCAAAATCATTTCGTGTTATCAGAGAAGAATCTGTAATTCTTATGTTTTTTTGCAATCAACTTGAGTCCCGGTATATTGCAGATTTTTGTTGTCTGACTCATGGGTCCACTAGATATGTGAATACCTTGGCATTTTGAAGCTTTCTCCCTCACTATGCTCACCTCTGCTCTTCTCAGAAATTAAGGAGCAAGTGACGTTCTAGCTGATGTGTTGCTTTACCTACTTTTTTCTTAACACTGGCTCCTGACTCAAGTTATGAAGAACCGGACGCTGGTGGTGGAGTTCCTGCTCCTGAGACTGGCTGAAGGCCAGGTGCTGTGGCTGCACGCTGCGCTTTTCTTGATGATCTACCTCATGGCTGCACTGGAGAATGTGGTCATCCTGCTGCTCACGCTTGTTGACTGCCGTCTCCACACCCCCATGTACTTTTTCCTTAGGCATTTGTCTTGGACCTGTGTCTCATTTCTGCTACCATGCCCAAGTCCATCCTAAACTCCTTCACGCTCTCGGACTCCATCTCCTTCCTGGGGTGTGTGCTGCAGCTCTTCTTGGTGGTCCTGTTGGCTGGGTCGGAGATTGGCATCCTCACAGCCATGTCCTACGACCGCTATGTGGCCATCTGCCGCCCTCTGCACTATGAGGCTGTCATGAGCAGCGCTTTCTGTGTCCAGCTGATGGCCCTGTCGTGGATCAATGGGGGGGCCTTCGGAGTCTTGTACTCGGCTGGGACATTCTCTCTGGAGTTCTGTGGTTCTAATAGGGTGCATCAGTTCTTCTGTGACGTGCCTGCCCTTCTGAAGCTCACCTGCTCTGCAGAGCACACCACCATAGAGGCCAGCGTGGCCGTCGGGGTCTGCTATGCCTTCTCATGTTTAGTGTGCATTGTGGTCTCCTATGTGCATATTTTGTCCACGGTGTTAAAGATCCCATCCAAGCAGAGCCAGTCCAAAGCCTTTTCCACCTGCGTGCCTCACCTCATTGTGGTGAGCGCATTTCTGGGAACAGGTGCAATTGCCTATTTAAAGCCAGCGGCTGATGGGCCCCCCGTTGTAGACCTGCTGGTGTCTGTGTTCTACTCCACTGTACCTCCAGCCTTGAACCCCCTCATCTACTGCCTGAGGAACAAGGACATCCGGTCAGCTCTGGGAAAAGTCCTCAGGAGGGTTAGAAGGAGTCAGCAATGGCAATGGGAACAGAACTAAGTCAAAGCTAGCACCCAGAGTTTCAGGGTTTTGTTGCTGTTCTGCATTTACTGAAGTGTTTAAATTTCTACTTAGAGATTGAAATGCTGCACAGCCTTTTAGCAACAACTTCAGGGTGTATGTTTTCATAGACAGTAAGCCGTTTCTTACCCCCCTTCACTTTATATCTTACTGTTATGGAAATTGCAAAGGTTTCCTACTATACTCTTGATTTTGATTCTTGTTCCTAAGTTCCGTGAGCTTTCTATGAAGTTCTTATCTCTTCAAAACTTCCATATTTCCTGGGTTTCCCTTTATTTAGCTAATGATTTATAATTTCAGAGTTTTCCTTGCATCTCTTTATGGATTCGACTTGACTATATAGCCCTTCTGATTTTCACTATTTGGTGAAAATTATTTTAACTTAAAATTATGACCTTAACAATTTTGCAGTTCAAAACAAGGTACTTAATTGTATCACAAGTTTCACTTTTTGCTCCAATATATGCTTGATATATTTAAGGTACAGGAGATTGAACTAAGGAGCACTCTATTCCTGAGCTACATCCCCAATCCTTTTTATTTTTATTTTGAGACAGAGTTTTACTAATTTGCCCAGGCTGGCCTTGAACTTCTGAATACCTGGGATTACAGGTGTATACCATTATACCTGTCTGTTTGATGTACTTTATATCATTACAGATTTAAGCATACAGATTTAAGCATTCCATCACATCTGTGTTTCTTTGCATGTAAATTATATTTTTGGATGCAGGCCCTTTTCTTTTAACCACAAATTGTTTTTCCCTAATGTGCAAATTCCTGATATTGTGCTAATAATGTTCTGTAATTTATGAAAGTAACATCTGGCATGGCTTCTAACGTTGTGATAAATCCCACCTTCTCCAGACTTTCCAGGTCATGTAACACTTCCAGAACCCTACAGGTGCAACCTGCAATTATCAGTGGGAAAAATTACCCCAAAACCATTTCATGTTATCAGGGAAGGAACTCTCACAGCAGGGAACAGTTCAGCTCCCTCTCCAGTCTGCTTACGGCCTCCTTCCTGAAGATGGAAGCCATGCTTGTTGACCACCTTCACTGTGTGCAGGCTTTACGTCCACCCCTTCTGTTGGTCCTCGCAGCCAAGGGGAGGTGGCTACAGCGCTCAGCATGCAGAAGGCAGGCGGTGTGCTCGGTTGCCCATATTGCAACACAGGGCTGTAGTAAACGCCCCTGCTGTCGAGTGGACACACCTTTCAGACTGGATGCTCAGCACCGCATCTCTGAAACTTTCTCCTATGACCCACCTCAGGAAATCTTCTATTTGTTTATAGTCTACCAAAATTTCCCAGTCCAGCCTGAGCCTGGCTATAAAGTACTTAGTTTCCCATTTCCAGTCTATGAAACCTTGTATGTAATAGACAAAAGTAATTTAAAATGTTTTTTTGTAGTGGGACTTGTATATATATTGACAGAAAATAAGTTAAGTATCTTGTAGAAATCAAGCTGCAGCAGGAACACTGGCCTATGAGGCCCCCCATGAGGCCTTTATGGTGTTGTTCACAATTCAGAGTCTTCAAAAGCTTGACCTAAAATAGACATTTGACCCCGTGTCAGTTTATTTTATACCATCATAAACTTATCTTTCTCTGAAATTTTTTGTATTCAATGAACCCATCAATTTTTAATTAAATCCCTTTTACAGAAATGCTGAATTGAAATATGGAAAACATGCACATTTGGGAATGCAGGGCATTGGATGATGACAAAACTCTCAAGGGGGAATCAGTAAAGTGACCCATGACCTAATTAAGTCCCACCTTTCAAAGTTTCTAGCACGAAGAGCACCACCAGCTGGGGACCTGGACTGTAGCACAGGGGCCTTTAGGGACATTCCAGATCCAAGCTACAATCCTACCTGTAGTCATGCCAGGCCCCGTCTGCTTCACGTGCACCTTGATATTGTGTGTTAGTGCACACGCCCACAGACACACAGACACACACAAACACACATTCACGACTGGGTGAAGAATTTCCTTTTGGAATCTGGTCAGACACAGTAACTGTTCTCTTTGGAAGACTCCATCTGTTGCTAATTAGACCTACAGTCCTGGCCATAGCTGTGTCTCTGTGGAGATGGACCCCTTGGCCGTGCCGGCATGTGTGTAGGCACCGATGAAGACCTCATGTGAACACAGGCAAATGGCTTCAAACAAGTTCCTGTCCCAGGCTGCAGGAGGAGGGAACTAAAGTAGGGAAGCGAAACTTTCAGAGCCCTCACAAAAGAAAGCAAGCCGACAGGACAGGAGAATTGACGGAGGACCATGCGTGTCCAGGCCCATGTCTGGAGAACACCAGGTGGGCAGCAGAAGTCCTACTGCAGAAGTGGTTCTTAAGTAGAGAATTCTGAATGTTCCCAATGCAAATAACTGATCCATAAAATAGTGGAAATGCTAACTACCCTTGATTGATCTTTATAAAACATGTGTATTGAAACATCACACGGTCTCCATAAGTAAATATATTATGTGTGAAGAGAACTTTAGAAGGTAGCACCAAGCAAACAGAGAGGGATCTAGACTCGTGCCTAGGCACTGCTAAACACGTGTCTGCCTGTACTTCAGCGTGTGGCTGGCAGGCCTTATGAGCTCCACAGCTGAATGCTGATAGATGGAGAACCTGATCCCTGACTCAGTTTCACTTATTGGAATATTTTAAGGATGTTTGAAACAACCTATGTACAGGAATCTCTTTTTCCCATAACAAACTTCATGATATTAAATATGAATTATTTCCAGTGAAAGCTTTGTGACCAAAATGAATAATTACATAAGTGAATTTTAAACACCTGATATGAAACCTACAGTCTCACTCGTACTTCATGTTGAAATGATTGTGTTTTAGATCCTGTGTTGGTCACTTTCACTTTCTGTCACTGTGACACCACACCCGAGACAACCTCCTTAGGTATGAGAAGAGAAGATGGAGTCATGGCTTCAGAGGTCCCAGCCCATGGTCAGTTGGCCTCAACCATCTGTGCCTGTGGCAGGACAGACACGGTGGAGGGAACGCACAGAGAGGTCAAGTCGCCCCTGCTGGCATCTGGGAAGCAGAGAGTGTGGGGGGCTCCCCACCTGCCTCTCCAGGGCAGCTCAAAGACTCATTCCTCCCACAGCCTCCAGAGGGCTCCACCATCTCCCTGCAGCACCACAGCTGGTGCCCATGCCTTCCACACGTGGCCCTGGGACACTCCAATCCAAACTGTGGCAGAGACTGGGTTAAACTGTGTCATTCAAAGTGATGGCACCGGTTTCTAAAATTACATCTATCACTTGCGTTATGGTCACGCTTGACGGGGTAATTGGGAAGAAATGTGACCTGTGTGTGTGTGCTGCTCTTTGCTGGGTGCCATATGGCTGTTCAGAGACTTTGTGGTGCATAATTACTGCTCATAGCAATCATGAGCACCTATGTGCCAGAGGTTCCTCTAGGGACTTAATACACATTCCTCATTTATGAAGCCCTGAGGAGTTCTCTACACTGTGGACTGCTGTCTTTATTTTACATGGAGGAGCAGGTGAGACTTGGTTCAGATGGGACTCTGGTAGAAAGCACTATTGTGACTGATTCCTTCAGGGAAGGGGAGAGAGAGAGATGGACAAATGAGACGGAGGTACCAGTAGACTCCCATGGTCACCTATGGAGAACCAGTCAAGGCGAAGCAACCACTTCAAAGCCCATGTTCAGTACACAGAGGGCCCCCGAGCCCACATCTGTGATGAAGACTCAGGCCTGAGCCTTGACAGCATTTGGATCTGGTGAAGCACCTGAGTGTAAATTCCACCCCTAGCCAGGTGTGGTGCTGCACCCCTGTAATCCCAGTGGCTTGAGAGGCTGATGCAGGAGGATTGTGAGTTCAAGGCCAGACTCAGCAACTTAGTGAGGCCCTAAGAAACTTAGTGAGTCACTGTCACTAATAAATAAAGAAATAAACAGACAAACAAATAAAAATGTTTTTAAAAGGGGTGGGGATGTGGCTCAATGGTCAAGTGCCTTCAGGTTTAACCCCCCCCCCATACAAAAACCAACTCACCCATTCCATAACATTATGGAAGCACAAAACTGCCTCCTGCTGGGTTGTCAATGTATTGGTGTGTATTCCTTAGCGTGGGTGAAGTGACTGTATCAGCAACTGACCTTAAATGGAAAGAGGATCGCGCTATTCTGGGTTCCATTTATTTAATGCAAGAAAAAAAATTCCTTTAATTTTCTGTGTGTGAATTTTTTTAATATTCACTGAAGTAAAGAATAACAGAATGCCTCCTTCTTTTCTGAATTTTTATCCAGATCTGCATTAAGGAACCAAGCCACACGCACAGAGGTGGCCTCACTACAACTTAGTCCCACCTTGTTCTGACCCGTCTGCACACCCAGTCCCCCACTCGCCTATAGGAGTCTCAGTGTCTGTGCACTTGCTGTCACTTGAGTGGTGGTGACACAGGCTCTACAGGCCCATGGACCTCCCTGTGGTAGGCAAGGTGCTCAAGCAGCTGGCAGCTGGGTGTGGTCCCCGGGGTCTCAGGCCTCTCAGGACAGGGACTGGCACCTCCAGTTTTGCCTGGATCCACAGGCCCCACCCTGCTCTCTCATGTTCCCATACCTTGGAGTACCCTGGTGCCACGTGCCCTCCTCCTTCCATCCCTACGCCCAGGAACCCTGTCTAGTCAAGGCCTCCACGGGTCCTTTTCTATGTATGGAGTGGCCGCCACTCTCCTGAGGATCTTGCTCTTCACCAGTGGAAACTGAGTCCTGGCCCATACAACACTGCCTGCCTCTGCCCTCCTTTGCTGCCGGTGAAAGAGGGTGTCAAAGAATAGAAAGTAACAGTGACCTGCTCTTGCATTCTCCCTCTTTTATTTTATATTCATTTGGTATTCGGAGCCCCTGTCATGTACACCGCCATGTTCCCAGGTGTGCACACACTGTGCTCACAGAGTACCATTGCTGGGGTGAGAATG